AGAGAGAGAGAGAGAGAGAGAGAGAGAGAGAGAGAGAGAGAGAGAGAGAGAGAGAAAGAGAGATTTTAGGGGCCGAACTTCAAGGCGCTCGGCTTCAGCCAGAAATTATTTTAAGGCTTAAAAATAAGTGTTTTTTCTTAATTTTCTTTTTTGAGTTCTTTATGATGTGAGGTATATGCCTATAAATTTTGAAGTATTTTTTGCTAAGCCAAAGAAAAATTATCAATCGCCAAAGATGGCGGTGTCAAAACGTGCTCGCCCACTCACTTTTCAGTTTTTGTTTTCACTTTATTAAGGGGCCTTAAGCTGCAGAAGATCAATTTGTTGTATCTGTAGCGGGACGAGAGCTTGGTCGCCATGCATTTCGGGCGCCCAGCAGCAAGGCTGAAGAGGCCCCTTCTTCCCCCCTCTTTGGTTACTCGTATTCTTGCGCAGTTAATCCCCTGTTCTCAGGGCAATCAATGCTGGCAGAATGATGAGGAAATCTTCAGAAGGAAATCAATGGCTTTGTTAAGGGACGCTGGACCCGTTTTCCAGCAGGTGTTGCTCCCCACTAATAGATGGAGCCTCCCCGGGGGAGATAGAGGCGTCTGCTCATCTGAACAACATTCTCCGAGGTCGCCATGTAGTCGGGGCCATCGTCTGGAGCTTGCATCAATGTCCTCTGTCTACGCGCGCGCAACTGCTCCTTCAGTCGTCCCAGCGCCCTCTCCTGCTGACATCGAAGAACAACAGTAGACACGGCAGCCGCCACGGCCTGCAGCTCAAGAGGCGTCAACACCGCACGTCCACCCTCTCCGCCGCCCTCCATAGCCGCGACCTGGACACGGACCCGTCGCTCCGCTGCCGTGTGTGTCGTCCTTCCACACCCAATAAAGAAGCCGAAGACATCCGTCGAAAGCTGGCCCTTTTTCTCTGGATGCAGTCCCGCAGACGGAAACGTGTTTCAAGGCGCAGTCGACGTGTGCGAAGGTCGACGGCGATGGACGCACCCGACGATGCCTGCACACTCGCAACGGGCGGGGGACGAAGTGACACAGCCGCTGAGCCCGTTTCAGCAGTACGCCGTCTTCGCGCCGCCAGCCGCACGTCGTCGTCGTCGTCGCAGCCGTCATTCAAAATTCGAATTTCAAACGTCGACGCCCCCCCGGGTTAAATTTTTTCCCCCTAGCCCGCCTCAAGCCGTTTCCCGCCACACGTAGCTGGACCACGCCGCCTCCACACGGACAAAAGACGGTGGACCAAGGACCACTGACACGGCGGCCATTAATTTCCGTATGAAAACGGCCGTGGGCACAGCACAAGGAAACATCCTTGGGGGAGGTCCCCAAGGATGAGTGGAAAGAAGCCGCTGAGCCACAAGGAAATTTGCTTGTGGCTCAAGGAACTCGGAAGGAGTGTTTAACGAGGCCCATAGAGGAAGATCGGTGGTAAAACCTCGATCCAAGCCCAGAGTTTCTTGCATATTCATCCTAGGATGCGGGACCACAATTACGGCCGGATGGTGGTGCATCTGTTGGCAATCACGTCTAGAGGTGACCTGAAAAAATCCTGCCTGTGGGTACGCCTCCCTCTCCTCCAGCAAAAGAAGATTGTCTTTTCTCCCATGCCTTGAGAGAGGCTTTATCTTTCAATTCGGCAAACCCACAAAAAAAGTGGCTCAGGTCGTCCCGACGGTGTGCCGGTTCCGCCATAGCCAGGATATTCTCAGCAAGCCCTCGTGGGTCCAGATGCCCCAATTTCAGGAGCCAGCAAGCGATGGCGACCCTCTTCCCGCCTGGAATGGAGCGCATTAGCATTCCAATGGAACCCCTGAACATCACGATAGAACCTGAGACGCAACATGCCTTCCTGTTTTTCTGTATTCATGATGCCTCTTCAGGCCTGTCACCAAATATGCAAAATGAGAATGAATCTTCCGCTAGAACGTGGAGAGATACCCCCGCCATTATTTTTGTGTAATTTTTTGTTTTGGTGAGAGGTGCGGCGAGGCCCTTCTTTGCCTTTGGGCCTAACAAGGAAGCGGGAAGTAACGAGATCAACTAGGTAGTACCGGAAGGAGCAGGTGTCGCGAGAGCAAGGCCACGTGGGCGACACGTGGGCGGCAAGTCGGCGCCACGTAGGCAAAGAGCTGCTTGCCGGGCGAGCAGATTTCTGTCCATCTGCCCGGGGGTCCAGCCATGGCGGCAGCAGCCTCTGAGTGCCTTCTTCGCCGAGGATTGGTGTCTAGTGTGACGCGCTCCTGCAGCAGCGTGCACGACCCACGGTCACGCGATCGGTTCTGTAATAGTAGTTGTAGTAGTAGTAGTAGCAGTAGTAGTAGTAGTAGTAGTATATGGCTTCATCCTTCCTGGAGGAGAGATGGGGCTGATTGGTGCTCGAGAGGGGATGGGAGGTGTCTCAAGGTCGACCGGGCAAGGTCGCCGTCGTCGTCGTTGGCATCTTGTAACGCCCGGTGCCTGACAAGATTGGCATCCAGTTGTGTCCTCCTCCATCCCTTGCGCCGACACAGGCGGGGGCGCGTGGACGCGAGAGCCGCCGCTGCCCTCGACAGTTCCGCCGGCTATGGCGGGAGCTGTCGTCGGGCGCTCTGCACGAGCTGTTTCGCTCGTATCCGGGGGGGAATCCTTGAAGCGAGAGGCGGCGGTGGGGCTAATGAGAAGAGTAGGAAGGGGAAGAGATGGCGGAAGGTCGGGCATGGCGGCGGCGGCGGCGGGGCGCTGGGGGCCACGGCGGACGGTGGAGAAGCGCCCCCTTCTCCTTCCCCACCATCTTCGTCAGCGCAATCCGGATCTCTGTCGACGGACGAGATCCAGCCAGACTGCGACCCCGTCGAGGAGATCGTGGATGACGTGGTCGTTTACGTGTGGCGGGAGCTGGACCGGCGGTACAACCTGAGAGAGAAGTTGGGATGGAAGTCGGGATCTCGACCTGGGGAGAGAGGAGCAAGGGACGCTATGGCGGTGAATGGGGAGGGAGGGTTGCGCGGCACAGAGCTGGAAGTGGCAAAGGAGGCGGCGGAAGTGAGGGAGAAAGAGGAAGAGGGGGAGAAAGAGGAGGAGGAAGAGGAGGAGGAGGAGAAGAATAGCTTACAGATTATGGTCCAGCTTCGGAAGATGCTGCCGCCCAGAGTGAGCAACGATGAAGACCTCCGCCAGGTAATGCACTTGAAGCCGCGACAGGCGCAGGTGGAATACCGTCTGGATCTGGATCGGCTGGTTGCGGACGCTGTGTCTGTCGTGGAAGAGGCGCGCTCCGAAACGGGCGCATTGCTACGTGCCGCACAGAAGGGTGCGGAGGACATGCCGTCCAGAGCCGCGCAGAGATTGGCTGCGGCTATGTCGGCCTTGGGCGGCACGGTCGAGCGCTACAAGGATGTGCGGAGTTGGGACGCGAAGAAGTGGCTGGCCGTGGGGCTGTGCTTGACGTCTCTAGTCGGAGGTATGTGGTGGGCGATGGCGGCGGCGACGGCGGCGCGCCGGCGACCTATGCCTTCTCTGCCCTCGGCTTCGCAATCGGCCCTGGATGCCGGGATACCAGCCCCGACGACGAAGAATGCGGCGGCGATGATGAGGAGCACGGTGGCGGCAGGAGGTAAGCGTCTGCCAGGGAAGGGAGAAGAGGGTGGTGGTGGTGGTGGTGGTGTGGGAGATGTGGTGCTCACGAAGCACGTGAGGGTTGGGAAGCGGAGGGTGAGGGTAGAGAGAGAGGTCGGGGAGGGGGAGACAGCTTTCGAGCGGGCGTATATGGAGTTGGAGAGGCTGGGAGGAGAGCTGCAAGGGAAAGGGGAGGAGGGGGATGGCCGTAACGGGAACGTGAACACTCATTCTTCTTCGAAATGGGCGAGCTACGTGCGCCCGAAGGACTCTGTCGACCACGCTACTACGGTGGGGGAAGGAGGAGGAGGAAGAGGAGGTGGTGATGGTGTCGATGATAGCGCAGTCGCCGAGGGCGCGGGATGGCTAGAGAAGTTGGAGGGGTGGAAGAAGGTTGTGAGCAAACAGAGAGAGGCTGGTGGGGATGCCGACGGTGTGTTCGTTGTGGAGCGATCGTCTCTGCCCCCCAACCGGACGTCCACCTCTTACGTGGACCACTTGCGCAAGACTTGGTGGCGTTATCGACCATCGCTGTCGTACTCGGATTTGTTGCGCGAGATTCAGGAGGGAGAGGTCAGGCGAGCTGCATACAGTCAAGACTTGTCCAAGCTTTATGTGGAGATGAAGGATGGCTTTCCTCTGGAATTCAAGGTGGACATCCCGGCTGATCCGTATCTGAGCGACCTGATGGAAATTGCTGACGTGGAGGTGTCAGAAATGCCAGTAAGTCTGCTGACGTCAGGGCTACAAGTGGCTGCACTGGTCGTCCCCACCGTCCTCCTTGTGATGGCCCTCGGACCAAAGAAGTCAAGAAAGGAGTTGGCGATGGAGGAGGCGGAGGAGATGAAGGGTATCACTAAGATAGCGTGGGCAGACGGTGAGAGCAGGACGAACCCCTTCTTGTGGAGGGTCAATATGCCTCAGAATCTGCCGAGTCGGGACAAGCGCATAAAGGAGGCGCTGCGGAACGGGATCGGGTTGGAGTTGTTCGAGAGCCCTGCCAGAGCGGAAGGGCTGCTGGAGGACGTGGTGGGGATGCCAAAGGTGAAAGCCCTCATCAAAGAGTACCTCCAAATCTTCTCAGACCCTGGCTTCTTCCAGCAACATCGAGTGATCATCCCCAAGGGAATCCTTCTGCACGGCCCACCTGGGTGTGGGAAAACCCTCTTTGCAAGGGCCATGGCTGTCGAGTGTGGTCTGCCCTTTATTGCCGTGGGAGGCTCAGAGCTGATGGAGCTGATCAGCAATCACGGTCACGAGGTGATAAGGAACCTGTTTGCAGCTGCAAGGTACCTGGCCCCCTGCATTGTCTTCATCGACGAGATAGATGCACTTGCCAGCAAATCGGTTGAAGAGGACGAAGAGAGGAGCTACGCCCTTGAGATGTTGTACCTGGAACTCGATTCGTTGGCCGGACCCCATGACGTCTTTGATATAGATCAGGCCTTTGTCATCATAGGAGCAACGAACCGCGTGGAAGAGCTAGCGGAAGACTTCGTTAGGATGGGGCGGATGGACAAGTTGGTCTACGTTGGCAGACCCTCGTGGCGTGACAGATTACAGATCTTTGATGTGCACAAACGGGGCCACAGAATGGCTGCCGACGTCGATTTCTCCAAGATTGTCTATCGAACGGCTGGCATGTCTGGGGCAGACATCAAGAACCTTATCAACGAAGCAGGCCTCATTGCTGTGCGCGAGTCGAGGGATCACATCACTCAGCAAGACTTCGTTGCTGTTCTGGATCGAATGCTTTTCGAATCGGTGTCCATCAACCTGACCAAGGAAGAGCTTGAGGAGCGCCTGCTGCTGGTGCCCAAGGATAACGAGAGGCTTCTTGCTCTCCACGAAGCAGGCCATGTTGTTTTGTCCATGCTCTACCCCAATTACGACATCCTCACCTTCGTTATACTCTACCCTGGAGGCCAAGAGCGGGCGATGAGTGTGTACTACCCGAGCAACGAGAGATTCGACATACCTGGAACGACAATCGGATACGTGCAAATGCACATGGTGGTGGCATTTGGGGGAATCTGTGCAGAGAGGCTGTTCTTTGGGGACAACCAGCTGACGGACGGAGGGAGCGATGACTTGTCGAAGATATCGAACTTGGCACGGGAGCTAGTTGTAGGTGGGGTGAGCAACAAGCTTGGACTGTTCCAGCTGCTGGACAGGCAGACGGCCAGGAAACCTTTCCCTTATGACCAGGTGCCGCTGCTGCCAGGAGAGTGGCAGGATCGCAGCAATGAGAAAGCGGCGCTGCCGGCGGAGTTGAGCGAGCTCTTTACCCGCGAAGTCATGCTGTGGGTGGAGTGGGCAGAGGACGAGGCCATGGAGGCTCTGAGGAGAAACAAGCATATTGTCGAGGCAGTGGCTAACGAACTGATTAAGCGGCGAAAACTCACCGGAGAGGAAGTGAAGGAGCTCGTCGATAGCATGAACCCGTATCGATTTCCGGACCTCATGGAGTATCCGTCCTTTGAGGAGGTCATCAGCGGAGAAATCGTTGTTAATCCCAACAATGCAGGTCCATACGAGCCACTGGACGTGTATGCAGCACCACTTCACCGGTGCTAGAACTTCACAATGAGGAGTGTCAGAGGTAGAGTGCCGGGAGGAAGCCAATTAGTGCATCATCTAGGCAAGCATGTTTGAGGGAGAACTTGCCATAGCTGGACCAATTTTGTTCCTTGTCCGTTTCTTCTGTTTTCGTCTGTGTGTGTGTTTTCGTCTGTGTGTGTGTGTGTGTGTGTGTGTGGTCTGTGTACGTGTGGGTTGCACACAGAGAGAGAGAGAGAGAGAGAGAGAGAGAGAGAGAGAGAGAGAGAGAGAGAGAGAGAGAGAGAG